CACTTATGAAATTACAATTTATTTACTAAAAAATTGGAGGTTATATGATTAATTGCCATTTTCGTCACTTAAGTTTTACTTGAAATTTCGGATTACTCCACTTTTTATGTCTTATGATTACTTGTTTACAATGAAGTTTGAAATTATTTTTCATGTCTAATTAGATATAAAAGTCAAACAAAATTTTTCAAGAAAAAACTTTCTCTCAAATACTGATAAAAGACCAAATTCTTCTCTCATTTATATTTTGATCTTATTCACCAACAAATGATATCTTCAAGTTTTTAGTGTCACACCGCACTGTTATCATCATCGTCTAAATTAATTCCCTCTGGACTATTACTTCAACCAGCGGTCAACTCAAATATTGAAAAAGATTAAAATTAGCCATTCAATGTCTGAAGAAACCTCTCCGAAGAAAAGGAAGGTTTTCACCGAATAATTCGACTGTGTCAGAACAAAACGAACAAATAAATCAAGTCAAATAAATTCACTACAAAAATAACCAAAATGAGAGAATTGATATCATTGAGGGTTTCGATATCGCTTTTATCCTCCCGCGCCCATAGCTCCCTCATCTCCTGGCTCTCCTGGCAACCCTTTCGGTCCCTGCGGTCCTGGCTCTCCCCTATCGCCTTTCTCACCTTGCACCCCTGGGATTCCTGGAGGTCCTGTTTCTCCCGGTGGACCATCCGGACCTTGAGCTCCTGGGTCACCCGGAATTCCATCTCGTCCATTTCGTCCTGGGGGCCCTACCGCAGCACTCCGTGATGATGGACAAGCCTGAAAATAAAATCAGTGAATAATTTCAAACATATCGACTTCAGACATATTTTTTTTAACTTAGAAGATAGGGAACTTACTTGGATCATGAAAACGGCGAAAACAACAGGTAGAAAAATACTGAAAAGATGCATTGGCAGAGATAATCTGAAATTGATTTGTGTACAGTGACTGAGATTTTTCAGATTTCCTTTCAAACTACCAAAATTTTGATTTATTCAAATTTTGTAAGAAACGGAAGAAAAGAGAAT